TAAATTGTCCATGAAAAAAATTTAAAGGCCACAAAAATAAAGTGATAACTTAATTGACTGGTCATCTTTTACCCAACACACAATGACACAAATAAATTGAGGGACCAACTGAGATGGCATTCTACTCAGTTTTCTTTAGTATTCACACTCTGATCCTTGACTTCATGGCTCAATTGAATTCTCAGATTCTAGATTTTAATTCTTATTTAGACTCCAAATTTTAGTTAAAACTAGAATCGTATCTAGACTCCACTCTTGTCTTCAAAATTCAAAATGTGCATTTAAAATTCATTTGGATTTGAATGGAATATTTTCAAATTAGATTTAACTTTGAATTTTTGATTTATTTTTTCATAGAATTTAACTTTGAATTTTTGAAGGGAGTAATGGGAAACGTAAAAACTTTTTGTAAATCAATTTTTGAAGAAAAGTATTTTCTCCCAAACCAACCGACCCTAAATCTAAAAACATAAATAACCAAACAAAATAAACTTTGATAGAACCGAATGAGAGAAGATGACAAGAGAAGACATCCTTCTCAAGCGACCAACTTAAGAAACCTACATTTGTCTATTCTATTTTTATATGGAGCACCTTACAAAAATAATACTTCCTCTGTCCGGGGATAAGCTTCCTACTTTGACTTTTCATCATTTTTAGTAGAGACTTGAATAAGACATGAAATGCCTAAATTACCCTTAATGAATGAAAAAAGAAAGAACAGAAATTGTCAGGGCCGAACACATTGAAATCAATCAAAGTACACCAACCACACTATTTCAATCATTTTCATACATCAAATCCATGATTACATAACAAAATTTAGGCATTCCCTCCAATGATTTTGGAATGCCGCCCAATACTAATTGAAAAATCCTCCAAAAAGTACAGTTTTAAATACAGAACCAGGCTATTTAACCCCCCCAAGATTATTAACCCCCAACACTACTCCCCTTTCTTCTCCATCATTTTCTTCCTAATCTTTTCAACAATCCTTTCACATTCAGCTTTATTCCTCTTCCTTTTTTCATCCCGATGTCCAGGCGGCCTGCATATAACACCAAAAAATTAGATAATGTAACACAACATGTTATAAGCGAGTCGTTACTGTCACATTCAAACGAAAACCCCGATGGCTCTTACTCAGCTCAGTATGGACAGATCAAGAACCTTGCAGCACAATTTAAAGTGTCTACAAAAATAGTCAGTAGCATATGGGCCATTGCAAAGAAACAATTAGAGTTGGGCATTGCCATTGATGCCAGGAATAGAATGGCAGGAAAAAGTGACAGAAAAAGGGCTGTCATAGATGTAAAGGCAATAACAGACACTCCCCTGAGGCGGAGGACTACTGTAAGATCACTTGCAGCTGCCATCCATAAGCCTAAGTCCACTGTGCATGAGTGGATTAAAAAAGGTATGCTTAGGAGCCATTCTAATACTATTAAACCGTACCTTTCAGATGCTAATAAAATTTCAAGGTTGAGGTTCTGTCTAGATCAGGTTGACCCATATACCATGCCAATGCACCCTAGGTTTAAGACTTTGAGAATGTTTTATACATTGATGAGAAATGGTTCTTTATGTCGAAAATGTCTCAAAAGTTTTACCTTCTCCCTGATGAACTGGACCCATATAGGGCTTGTAAATCAAAAAGGTTCATTGCTAAAGTAATGTTTCTCTGTGTGGTTGGGAGACCACTGTTTTGGGAAAATCAAGAAGTGTTATGGGATGAGAAGATTGGCATTTTTCAGTTTCACGGAAAATTTAAGAGCCAAAAGGAAGAGCAAGAATAGGCCAAAAGGAGTTTTAGAGATTAAACCAATTACCAGTGTTACCAAAGAAGTAACAAAGGACATGCTGATAAACACAGTTATTCCAGCAATCCATGAAAAATGGCCAACACAGATGTCAAAAGACATACATATTCAGCAAGATAATGCAAGGCTACATAAATGTGCAGCAAATAGAAATGGGTTTCACACAACTCTAAACAATCAACCCCCAACTCTCCAGACTTAAATGTGCTAGACCTTGGGTTCTTTAAAGCCATCCAGTCCTTAAAGGATCAGTGTGCTCCAATTACTGTGGTTGAGTTGATAGAGGCTGTTGAGGGAGCATATAATGCCCTGACTCCAGAATGTCTAAACAATGTTTGGTTGTTTTACCAGCAAGTAATGACTAAAGTAATGGAACATGAAGGCAACAACAACTACAAATTGCCACACATGGGGAAGGACACACTAGCCAGAGAAGGGAATCTGCCCAAATGTTTGAACATAGACCAAGCCTTAATTGAAAAGGCAGCAACACTAGTTGGAGATAAGATTTTTACAACTAATGAAGAGATTGTTGAGTTTAGCACTGGAGATGCAGATGAGTACTTATCTTCAGACATGAACTGAACACACACTTTAAATGCACTGTTTTTTTTGGATTGTGGTTACCAAACTGGATTTTTGTAACTGCTTACCATGTTTTGGTTTTCATTTATGTAAATGGTAGGCATAAGGGGGCTTTTTTGGGTTTTGCTTTTTGTAAATGGTAGCCACATTTGTTTTTTGGGTTTTGGCTGTTGGGTTATGGGAGTTGTGTACTGACATCAAGGCAACAACACCCTAAAAGCTCTATATGTAACTATGTAAAATGACAATCACCATATGACATTCCAAATTGTATTCACATATCATCATTGCTGAGTTTTTAAATACTAGGACTACCTGGCCACACCCTTCACTACTCAAAGTCAGTTTAAGTGTAAAAATGTTCATCATGGTAGGACTATAAATTCTCAGCCAAGTCTAAACATGCTCATCTAATGGCCTTACATTTTTCACACCCAACACTGTAACAGGAGCATACCCACATATTCAAACCCACATATTCTTAGAAATTCATCACAGAAAGTGGCCACATAGTTCATAAAGGCAGCATCAGTGTAAACAGAAGCATACCCACATATTCTCAGAAATTCATCACAAAAAGTGGCCACATAGTTCATAAAGGCAGCAGTGTAAACAGAAGCATACCCAAATATTCAAACACTTATATTCTCATAAATTCATCACAGAAAGTGGCCACATAGTTCATAAAGGCAACAGTGTAAACACAAGCATACCCAGAAAATCAAAGGCACACAAACATACCCTGAAATTCAAGCACCCACTAAAAATGAGGAAAAGTCAAAGTAGGAAGCTTTTTCTCAGACAGAGGAACATTACCCTTTGTATGAAGCCCACAAAGGTATGAAGCACATATGAAGATCAGATGGTAATTGTGATTAATTGCAATGAAAATTTAAAAATTTAAGGATGTGAAAGGAACTTCCCCACTTGTACTTTGAAGCCCAAAAATGTGGATCAGAACTTGGAAGCAAGATGTTCAGGATATCGATGTGGAGATGCATGCGTGAGTTTATTGCCTGAGTAGGCTCAATCTCACTTTTTTCGCACCAATCAGCATAATCAATATCACCGTCTAGAACAACGAAGTTAGGCTCCTCCCTCCCATGAAGAAAAACAGTGTCTTTCTGAGATTCAAGAAGGACAACGTCCTTCCTCTCTGTGACCGGGGCAACATCGGCCATATCGTCGTCACTGGCGATGACGATGGCCTCGTCCTCCACCTTTTCATAGATGAAATCCCCATCATCAACTCCAATATCCTCAAATTGTGTCTCTGGGATAATGGATTCGAAGCACAAATCGTACGAATCCATTGCAGATCTAGGAGACGAAGCAGTTGAGTTTGGAGACAGAAAATGAAGAGTTCAGATCGGAAGATCTGAAGGGTTTGAGGAGGATCTGGAGACTTGTGATCGGATAAGATAGGGAGAGGGGAGGAGTGAATGAGGACGGTTGAGTTTGGCGATACATTCAATGAGGGGGGAGGGGTGTAGTTAGGAATAATGGGTGAGATTTAATGAAAGGGGTATTTTTGGAAGAGAGGGTATGAAAATGTAGAGTAGGAAGATTTTTTTCGGATGAGAAAAAAGGTAGAGTAAGAAGATTATTCTTGGACGGAGAGAGTATGTGTATGAATGGAAATAATGTTGTTTTTTTTGTGCAGAAAAAAATGTCGTTAATAAGCCGAAATATGCGACTGCTAAACAAATAAATGGCTTTCACACATGTCGTACACAGAGGATTCATTAATTATGTGGTGAGAAATAGTCAATGTGATGATTTATAGTAATATTATTAACATTAAAGTGTTGTGATATGAAAATGTTACGTGAAAATGATACATTTTCATGTTTTGAAAATTATCGATTTTATTTATTTTTTTATAGACATTGTGGTATTCATCATCCCCACCATTTTTCAAACTTTTGTTTTTAAATAATATTTTTGAAATATTTTATTTAATTTAAGAAGAAGAATAATAATGCACAAATAAATAAAAGTTTTTTTCACTAAGAATGTAATCTTTTTTGGATGGAGAGAGTAAAAATATATAATGAGATAAAATATAAAAATTATTGATATCAAGAAATACTTTTATTATATTATTTTAATACTTTCTTGCTAATATATTTTAAGAGATTCTTGGCCAAAAATTAGAGTCAAAAAGTGAACTCAACCATTAAAAAGGAATGAAGGTAGTAATTATTTTGGAAAAATTAATGCCAAGCCCTAATGATGCATGAATGATGAAAGAGATATCGAAAGAATTATTGCCAGGCCAATCAAGAATTATTTGACAAGGGATTATCTCAAATAATCCCATATTTTTTTCACGCTCTTTAAAAAATGAAATTCAGTGTGCCCATAAAACGTCTGAAAGGAAAAAAACTAGAAAAGACGCATAAAGAAAGAGTAATTGCCAAGCCGTAATTATTTTTATTTTCATTCTATATTTTTTTAATTATTTCAGTCTATTTTGCAATCAATTATTGATGTTATAATAATCTATAGGCTTTTCAAAATCTAAACAAATCCAAATAATAAAATACATTACAGAGTATAATCTATCCAAGTCTAACTAAAACAATTCATAAATTTTACATAACTCATTGATTGCAAAAAATTCTACTCCGCAACATAATCTTTTAAAATTTGAAATCAAACACACCCCTTAGCTTAGCAAGCCGCTATCAACAACTGGCATTCATGATCTAGTGGCTGATCTGAGTGTTCAATGGAGGTGATCTCTCCGCAAAACCCCGAACCACTTTAAGAACCATTTCATCGCTCTGGTTTTCCGCCCGCAAAAGGACTTCGGCTTCACTCCATTCAATAGATACCCTCCTGCCCTGGTAAGCTGCACCAATTTGTAACATAGAAGAAACAAACGGTAATCCTTTCAAGAGATTCGTAAATAGTCATACCTTGCAATGCAGTTTCACATTCTTTCATGTTGCATCGCGCCAAGAATATGGAGGGCGAAAACACACGACTGCATTAGTGCGTTAAACGAAAAACTCATCGACAACAAACCAACTCAAGACACATAAAGAGAAAACAGTCTAGAGCCAGTCAAAGATTATATATATGCATAGATATTCTGAGGATCTGAAATATATTGAGTTGAGAAAGCAGAACATTAACAAAATAGCACACAGTACATGCAACTTCATGATCATTTGGGCTGTATAGAGTTGGGTCGTTCGATAGGCCCATAATCTCGGGACACTAGACAAGAAACACTAGCTCAATACTCCATTCTATTTACTCCTAACAGCAGATATAAATAAGTTACAACTGCACCAATCTCATCATCAACATATGTTTGCTTAAAAATTGAAAAAACTGTGGCGGTACCAACAGAAAGCTACACGTAAGCATCAGGTATTCAGATGGAACATTTTTTAGCCTGGAGTAGAACAGCAGAATGCCAGAACGGGCGATAATCATGGCTTGACATATCTATCAACATATCCCTGCAATGAGAGAAAGGTGTGGTTATTAAGGGAGGCCAGGAAAAGAAGACAAAAAGTACTGGTGAATTGAGTCAAGTGGTTGCATGTACAAGACAGTTAATATCCATATCTAAGTCTATCTGACTTTTGCACATACCTATTTTAAAATCCAGACACAATCTATAAACCTTCATCAATCTTCAACTAAATAACTAAGCTAGAATGTAAGCTAATCTAACCTTGTCTTCCTCTCAGTTTGAATAAAATTGGATCTACCCTAATGAATGCTACAAATGTCAGATACTCGGGAAAAGGTTATTTTTAAACAGACTAGCCCACTCTACTCTGTTTTCCTATGAACTATGATAAGTCTAGCAAATACTTTACTCAGTATTTTGGATGTAAAACACCATCAAAAATAAGTCAGGTAAAAAGAAGGCTTACCATCACAAGCTGTGTCAATTTTCTTTGTGATGAATCAACAAAATGGTCAATCTTTTCTTGAGATTTGGGCACTCTACGATTCTTCAAGGCACCAGACACCTTCTCAACAGTTTTCTTGACAATGGTCTTGAAAACCTCCTTGCTCATACTACCTTGACGCCAGGATGGTTTTAAAAGCTCCTTCACAAAAGCAGCTATTGCGTTCTTGAAAAGTCTCATAGATCTAGAATCCTTGCTCTTTTTACTAGTTTCAGCATTATCAGTCTCTCTTTCTCCATCAACCATGTCTGCTAAATCATTTGAATCACTTGGACTTCTGTTTTCAACTGTACCAACTTCTGCATCTGCTGTCTCGCCATATTCATCATTTCCTGCTGATGCGAGCATAGCAATAGTTCCACCTCCTTTCTGCATGTTGTTCTCTTCAACATCCAATGGACTATTACTCCATTTGCTAAGCTTCATCACGACATCTGTGTCAACAGTTATTGCAGCATTTTGAACAGGACCCGGTTTACAGAATGAAATGGAAGGTGGCTCAATGCTGTCAAAAAGTGGATTGTATCGGTCATCACCAGGCACTGACAACATATTGTTAGCCGCACGGGCAGAGTTTGGTGGAGTATTTTGTGATCCAAGGCTTTCCACTTGCCGTCCATCAGCTGGTGCATTGATAAAATTTTGAGGACCACCATTTTTATTACTAGAAACCATGCCATCTCCTTCTCTTGGAGCATCTGAACTGATCTTGGAGGTTAGTGGTTGATCAAAGGTAGATGCATAAGGATTGAAGTAACTTGATATTCTAGATCCACCAAAATCAGGCAAAAGAGGTTTCAGGTTCCTGTCTAGATAATCAGATGAGTACAGTGATGCATTAGCAGGCCCAGAATGATTGGGAACACCACATGAGATCTGTTGCATATAAGGATAACTCATAGAAGATGGAATACAAAGGTCACCATGAGGCAGAGTATGACCAGGGGGTGTCTGAACATCTTTGCTTGGCCATGAATGCCCATAGGCCTGAAGTTGGACAACCTGAGAAGAATTTGGCAATGCTGCTCGATAGGGCATAACAGAACTGGCAGGAACAAAGTTATTCCTAAGCAGTGGTATACTCTGCTGGAAATGAGATGGAGTTGCACCACATGGTCCAAGAGCAGTATTTCCAACTGCATTATTAGCGAAGGAATATGATGAAATTGGTGGCGGCATAGCTGGAGGGAGAGAATTCCAAGAACTGTTCAAAGGTGTTTGAAAATGAGACTGTTGAGGGGGCAATGGAGGCTGGTACATCGGAAAATTTCCAATATATGCTGAGTTGAGCTGTTGCTTAGGGTTATACACTCCGGGCAGAGGTTGAGCAGGTAGTGTACTTGGAGCATAGGAAGACGGAGGAAAGGATGGACGAGGTGGTGGCTTAGGTAAATTCGGAGCAGAGCATTGTTGTTTGAAATCCGGAAACTGAAGCTGCGATGTTGGGGTTGATGTTGATGTCTGGAGAGTTGAAGGCTCAGAGATAGATGGATCAGCTATTAAGTTAGGTTCACAAACAACACCATCCTGAGTCTGATCAGAGGTATGACTCTGGGACTGCCAAATTACAGCAGTTTCAATTGATGAGGTAACAGCAACAGCAGCAGCGCCAGGATGCATCTCAGGTTTAATATGAATTATTGTGCTTGCAGAAGATTCCGTGTGACTTTCTTTACCATGCAGGTGAGAATTAGGTTCTGATCTGATCAAGTTTTTTCCTCCCATATCTTGAATTTCATGATGAGGACTCGACTCTTCTGTAATGATTTTAAAATTGTTCTCGTTTATAGTTTTCTCAGGGAGATAAGGCCCCGTCTCCTCATGTAAACTAGAATTCCATGGACTAGGAAAGTGAACATTATGCTGCTCTCTACTCACTGCAATTACTGACGATTCTGTATGACTTCCTTTTCCATGCAGGTGAGATAAAGGTTCTGATTCCATCACCCTTGGCTCTCCCGTATCATGAATATCATGGTGAAGACTAAACTCTTCGGTTTTGGTTTTATTATCATTCTCATTAATATTTCTCTCCAGGAGATGAGCTCTAGTCTCCTCATGTGAACTGGAATTCCTTGAACTAGGCAAATGAACATGGTACTGCTCTTTACTCCAGTAGGATCTTGATCTATCACTCTTATCAGACTCGTGGAAAAACCGGCATGATGCTCCACGGTAGCACTTTCCTTTCTTGAAATTGAAGCATTCTGGTTGGTGAACTTTCCCCCTTCTCATTTCATCCCTACCACCAAACCCAGGCCTAAAAGGGGACTTGCTCCTACTTCTGCGTCTTTTTGGCGATGCGCTGAGAAATAAAAAAAACACGCAAAATATAACATAACCCAGTAGCAAAAAAGTTAATCAGAAACATCAGGACATACAAATTAATACTCCCACCATCCCAAAATAAGGTTTAAGGCTTGACCCAACACACTTATGAAAAATTGAAATTGTATTGTTGAGATTCACATAAAGAAATAAAAAAATATAAACCAAAGAATTATTTCCTCAAAAGGAAAGATTAACTTTATTTTGGAACAGACAAAAATAGCGCAAAGAAACTTTTTGGGATGGAGATTGCATCATTACCTCCTAGATCGCCCATGCCTATCCTTCCGTCGCCTTGGACTCCACCTCCTCCTATTGTAAGGGGATCGGCTTCTACTCAGGCTTCTTTCCCTTTTTCCACGCCTCTTGTAACGTGGTGAATTCCTCCCAGAGTCACTGTCACTACTACATTCCCTGGCCACTCTACCAAAATCATCAATCTTCAACAAAGCAGGTGTGTTTTTCACAACCCTCTCTCTTACACAGGGTGATCGGCTTCTACTCAGGTTTTTTTCTCTTTTTACACGCCTTGTGTGACATGGTGAATCCCCTCCGGAGTCACTATCACTAGGACATTCTCTACCAAACTCGCCAATCGTCAGCATAACAGATGTGTTTTTCACATCATCCTCCCTTACACAAGGAGATCGGCTTCCCCACTGTCTATTTTCTCTTTTTTTACACTTTGTTTTGTAACGTGTTGAATCTCCTCCAGAGTCACTGTCACTAGCCCCTTTTCTTGCAAGACTACCAAATTCACCAGTCATTGACAAAACAGATGTGTTTTTCATATCCTCCTTTGCTAAATCAAGAGTATCTGAAGTGGCATTAAAGGTGTCATCTCTCAGAGCATTGTTTCTACTATGCTCTTCATTACAAGTATCACTGCTACCATCCATGGATTTTTTTGCAATGTTACATGTCCTAGAAGTTTCACTAACCACTCTCTGTGATGCAATAGAAAGCTCAGGTGATTTCCTTGAATCGCCATTGATTATGGTTTGAACTTCAATCGAAACAGACTCTGGTGCAAGGTTGACATATCCAACTTCAATCTGACTTCCATCATTGTTGTTGTTGTCTAAACTATCATCAGAAGAATATTCTTGTAGAAGACTAAAGGAACTTGGGCCTTCAGCATGCTGACGGGTACAGTTTCCCAAACCCAACTTAGGATCCGCTTGGGCTGAACCTTCATGTACAAGAGAAGAGTCTCTTACTTCTGCAGCATCTCTAAAAGGACCCAACTTAGGATTAGCTTGGGCTGAATCTTCAGGTATAAGAGAAGAGTCTCTTACTTCTGCAGCACCTGTAATTGGACTGGTGAATGATTGGACGAGTACAGAAGATGACTTGGCTATAGCAAAAGAAAAAAAAGATTCATTGTCACATGCAGAACGAAACATAGATGCTGTCCAGCATGCCATGGGCCATCTAAGCCATTCAAAATATTGTGACAAAATAGGCATATATTGATTGCACACATCTTACTGACTAAAAGTTCTATCAGAAAAAAACAAGAAACATATGTATACACCTAGGAATTGTGTAAAGAACTATAAACAGCTCTTCCAATGAAAGCAGACAGCCTAACCATTGAAATATAAACAACAATAACACAGTAAATCCCACAAGTGGGGTCTGAGGGAGGTAGATGCACAGATACCTTACCCCTACTGAGCAGGGTAGAGAGGCAAGACAATGAAATACAAAATAAAAAAGCTTATAATAATGTTTAGAAATTTTACACATGGTGATTATTAGAAAACTAGATGTGAAAGTGTAAAAGAGTACAAGTCTATCCAGCATACTTAAGTCAAGATCTAGATCGAAGCTCGTTGACCAATTACACAAATGGAATTTGAAATGTTGACAGACAGCACTTTTATTACCATCAACAGTCATGGCACAGCAGCCGAGTGATCTGATCCTATTTATCACTAATATGATCAAAATAATTAATTCTGCGCATGGAATGAGCTGCCTATGACTGAATCGCATTTCATGTACCACATAAGTTTAAGATTTCATATACTTCTAAAAAGATGGGCATTAAAGGTTGTTCTCACTAAAAATGTCACAGATATAACGATACTGTAAGCATATAAAATTAGTGGTCATTATAATGCTTTCATAAGTTGGTAAGATTCCAAACTGGTGACTGAAGTGAAAGTAAATTGAATCAACATCTGAAGCGCAAAATAGAGACAATTTAAAAGTCGGTCATTGAAATACATTCACATGGTTTCATCCACCATTGAAGTTTTAGGGTTTCTGGTTTTGGACCCAGTACTTGTTGGTTTGGGTTCTTTGTTTTAGGGTCTATTTTCTTTTGGAGTTTGCTTGGTTTCGGGCCGTTATTCCTTGGTTTTTTCTCTGTTTTATTTCTCGTTTTGCAATGGCCCAGGACGGGAGGGTTCGAATCGAGAAGTTCAACGGTACTGATTTTGCATGGTGGACATGGTACTGGAAGAGAAACCGAATGGAATGGATAAGGTTGCTGAAGCAATTTGGGACTCAAAGGACAAAAAGGCAAGAGAAATTACATTGGCTTTGACGAGGAGTGTGGCGTTTAATATCATGAAGGAAACAACTACTCGTGGTATGTTAACAGCTCTGTCAAATATGTATGAGAAACCGTCAGCCCGTAATTAAGTGTTCTTGATGAGGGAATTGTTCATGATGAGAATGAAGTTGCTAATCACATTAATGAGGTCAATTTGATCTTGTCTAGGTTATCATCAGTAGGCATGAAGTTCGATGATGACACTCAGGTTGTGATTCTGTTATCTTCCTTGCCTAATAGTTGGTCGGGATTTGTGACAACAGTTACTGAAACTTCTGGAACAGGAAACTTGAAGTTTGATCAGATTCGGGATAGTATTTTGGGTGAAGACATTCCCCAAAGGAACGTTAGTGGAGGATCTACTTTTGGGTTACTCAGTGTTAGCAGGGGAAGAGGTAATAACAGAAACAATGGGAGTCGTGGGAAGAGCTCGTCTAAGGCTGGAAAGAATGTGGTGTGCTGGGTCTGCAAAGAAGTTGGACATGTCAAGAGTCAATGTCCAAACAAGAAAAACAAAATTAGAACAATTGTTGGGAATGCATTTGATGATGATAGTGATGCATTGATCCTCAGCATGGAAAGCTATGTTGACTCTTGGGTCATGGATTCTGGTGCTTCATTTCACGCCATGCACAGCGTTGAGGCGATGGTGAATCTCAAAAAAGGAGACTTTAGAAAGGTAAAGTTGGGTAACGGGAAAATCCTTAAAGTGACGCGCATGGGAGATGTTGATCTAAAAACTTTATCTGGAACTACTTGGAGCTTACAATAAGACAGGTTGATTCCAAGACTGAAGACAAAGGTGATCTCTGTCGGACAATTGGATCTAGACGTCAAGTTTGGTGGTGGAAAATGGAAGGGGATCAAAGGAAATTTGGTTATTGCTCGAGGCTTGAAAAGAGGATCGTTATACATGGTACCGGTGACGTCTCAGCGAGTGACCAACCCGGTAAAGACGGTTAACAAAGTCGGACCCACTAAACCGGGCAGAGCTAAGAAGGTTCATTTTGCAAATGTGAATCTTGGAGTTTTGGGGATGTCAACTGAGTGTGTTCGGAGGTCTGAATCAGGCCTGGGATTACGTGACAGACGTGTTTCGGGTACAATTCTGAAACGCCATTGCGTTTTGAAGACCAAGAATCCGAATGTTAAAATCTCTCCTGGGAATAGTTTGCCGGATCTAGAGAGTGGTAATGGTCCTCAGTGTATCTTTGGATCCGGGGGATTGTGCAAGCCGGTTGAGATATGTGGCGGTTACAGCCACGACTGGGTTGGAGCTCGGTGGTGCTTCAATTGTCCTTTCAGGTTATTAATGAAGAGGGTGGTTGCAAGTAGGGGATATAACTGGAGTCTTAACTTGTTCTCAGGAACTGGAGGCTTGGAGGACTTGACAGTGAAGATGACTCAGTTACAGATGATGGGTCTACTTGGATAGCATTTGTGTCTATGCAAAAGCCTTCAAGTGGGAGATTGTTGGGTTATTCGGTAAAGGCTTTAGAACTTTGGGCTTTTAAGACCGGTCGGCTAAAGGGAAGAAACATGGATTGCCCGTTTCAGTTATTAATTAAAGGGTCCATTAGTTGTTTCTTGTTTAGCAAGTTGTTAGCCATAGTTTATATCTTATAAATACCCAATCATGTAACTATAATCTGTGAGCACCTAATAAAAGATAAACCCTAGTTGCAACCCTTGGAGTAGGTTACTGACCGAACCACGTTAAATCTCGTGTTCTTATTTTCTGCTATTTGTGTGTGTGTGTGTTTGTTTGCTTCCGCTTGACCGCCTCTGATCTCTGATTCCTAACAGTAGCTGCTTCACTCCTATGGTTGTGATCCTTGACTACTTAAAAAATTATATTGGAACAACCAAGCTATACATGACGGATTGACAGTTAAGTACACAAAATTCTAGAGAGCATCTAAGAAAATACACTTCGGTCAGTAGGGGGAAAGAGACTTTGTAAGACCCAAAGTCCCAAATGTAGACCTTTACGTCATAAAATATTTGAAGGTCCTGCAATGAAGTACAAGTAAATAAATAGCTTTGCACCTTGCCTTTCTTCATCTGCGTCTTCTGCTAAGCCATGCTCAGCTTTGCTTGCTGCTCCTTGAAACTGAGCCTCGACAATAAGTTTATTTGATAGAGAAATAAACTCCTGATATGGACTACAAAATGAAGAAATCTTATGTTCTTCATCTGGCTCTGTGATATCATCTGAAGATTCACAGAAAAGCATTGCTTCAAAATTCCAACCGACATGCTTGAAAGTCAAAACTAGCTACACTCGTCAATCAAAAACATACACCCATTAAAACACATAAAGTTTCGGCTGAAATTAAAAACTATTAACATGGACCGGTAAAATAGGTCTTTAGAAACAAGTAGAAACATTCCAAGAAGCCCGAAGTACATTTAGGAATGAAAAAATGGTTAACAATGGGATACAACTCTAAGAAACAGGAAAAGAAGAGTGCATTAATAAGTACAAACATTTGAGAAACACTCAAGTGTTTGTTGACTTCTTTCACAAGACTTCCAGCATACAATGTCCAACATTGTATTAAAAGTTAAAACATAAATAGCCTATCAACAACCATACTTCAACAAGACATCTTGTGCTGCAATACATAAAAGAGAAATTGGAATTGTAGGAGTGACCAAGTTTTGGTTCCGGTTCTGGTCTAGCAGTTTAAGGTTCAATAATAAAAGGAATGCTTCAAAGAGGAAGTGGGGAATTGAAATTAAAGCACATTTGCAAATTGGAATCACCATTCAACAAATAGTCCCTCCCTCCCTTATCGAGCAGGCTTATCATACCTGAGCCAGCAAAAGATATAAATAAAATTGAATGTAATGCATATCAAAACAAGCTATTATACCAACCTTCCATTTCCATATCAGAATTTGTAGGGGAATAGGATGCACCAGCATTTATGGAATCAGTAGATTGAAGCAAGGAGTGCATTGCTGGCACTCCCCTTGATATGTTTTCATTTCCATGAGCCTCATTCGCGTTCAATATATTACTATGATGGGGCTTAGAGAAAGAGTCAGGAACTTCCAGAACATTACTATTTTGTTGTGTCCTTCTACCAAGATACTTGGGGGATAAAGCAGGAACGTCCAAGATTAGATTATCACTTGCCGAAGATTTTATTGTGGGTCCAATTCCTTCACCTTCTTCTCGGGGGCCTTCATTTGTACAAACTGAAGCTAAGCTGTCATTCACTGAACCAAAAGCTGTTCCATCAACTGCAGTAGTTGTAGTTGTTTTGGATCCACTTTCTAACCGATTGGCCAGATTACAATATTTTGCAATAGGTGTGGAATTTGAAGCAACCGAATTTGGGGCAGGATGAATAGGAGGTGGAAGAGAATGTGGAACTGATGACGCTCCTTCAAGAAAAGATGGGGGTGGAGGAGGAGGAGGAGGACCAGTCATTGGCCTAAGAGGTGGCTGGGAAAAAAAGGAGCTGTTCAGATCAGATGCTTGTAATGCTACACTCTGAAAAGCCTGTCTATTACCTGGTGCTGGTAGATGCATATGGACAGAACCTCCATAATGTGTTGGTGTTTGTGGTGGGGGTGGTGGAAAGAATCTGGGAGCTCCGGGAGCTGTTGCAGGCAGAGTATGATGCACATTATGACCCCACTGTTGAGAAAATATGGAAGTTTGATAGGAGCTAGGCGTTGGAGCGCTTTGATGAAGTTGAACAGCTGCTGCTGGTGGTGGTGGTGGAGGAGGAGGAGGAGGAGGTGCAATGGGCATTAAGCAAGATTGGCTTGAAAGGGTCCCACTTGTTGGAACTTGCCAAGGTGGAAAATTCTGGCTTACACCGAGTTGAGTATGATGATGATATGCGAGAGGGTTGGGATTAACTTGTTGTGTTTGAGCTGAATGGGCATTATGGGGAAGAGGGGGAGGAGGAGGAAGGTGTATAGGATGTGCACCTGATTGCTGTGGGGATATGGATGTATAACTAACCTGCCCAGCCTGAGCACCATAATTACTTTGACCATACATCTCAATAACCAAACTTTAAGGACACAACCTCTGCTTAATAAAATTTGTGCCGATCGTAAATATATTCCACAAGCAAATCATCAAATCAAAAGCATAATGCAACCATCTGAAACAGGGGTCAGAGAGAATGAGTTATTTGCAAATTCAGACAAAGAAAAAGAGCCGACACAAACATGCATGCACAGAGAGAAATGGGATGAAAACTCTCATTTTACATGCAAGGGACAACCATTAAAGCAGGGAGTTTATTATAAAGAAAAAAATGCAGGAGATAAATTAGACAATTTAATAACCAATAGGCCGACAAAAATTCATGTTGAAAAATCTGAGAAGAATCATTGAACTAGATATAGAAGTGTTTCTTATGACAGAAAACAAGGAAAACTATTCATTTTGGAGAGATTCTATTAAAGTCCATAATAAGCAATTTCATATTACTTGCAGCAAGCACAAGAAATCTTGATGGTTGATGCCAAATGCCTAATCAACTGATCGCCCATGCAATAGTACAAAAACTACACTAACCAGTCAAGTTTCCATTTTTTTCTAAGCTTAAACCAGATTGCTGACTTCCCAACTGGAAAAAAATCTAAATAATGCTAGTAATAACTTTCATCCTCAACAAAAACATCAACTCTTCCAACCGGAAGGATATCAGTAAATTCCTCAGCTGCCAAATGTAATGCAATAAAGGCATGCTGTTGAGTTCCCTAACATCAAATCCTAACTGATTGTTTCAACTCAAAAAATGAGCACTTAACTTGTGCCGCTTTATAATTTAAAGCAAACCACACATTTATCTTTTAAGAGAATTATAAAGGAGAAAATAGCTCATGTAAATGTCTCTGTTTGCAGTGATTTCTGTTTCTCCGCTGCACCATCCAAAAAATACGTGCATAAATACCTACGGAGTAGTAAATAACCATGGCAAGTTCTGCAAAAATAATGGATGCGTTAAGAGGAGATGCTCACCGAGCTGCTCAAACTGAGCTGCGATGGACGGCAGGGAGAAAAGATAACGTGGATGTCTTGGAAGAACTCAATCGGAAGCCATAAAACTGAAAACCCCAAATTTGATCATTCTCCGGAGCAGATAGTTCTCCAGATTCAGATATGAAGAGAAAGAGGAGGAAGAGGTTAAAACCCTAGAACATATTCTTCCAATTGGAAAATCCCTAGTACGGAGTATATTCTGGTTCGGATTTGATTTCTAACGTGCAGGACAGAGGATTGAAATCTTACACCGCAGTTCTTCCAGCATACTAGGCTTGTCAACTGGCTAGGCTTTATGAAGAAAGAACCGGACCGAACTGTTTAACTTTGATGGAGAACTTAGGCTACTTTATTCATAAAATTGGTCACATCTCCTCTTAATCCTTCTTCTAACCCGTGTCTTGCCTCCCTCCAAATGTGTGGTCATTAGGAAGAGGGAATAGGGTTCAGGGCAGGGCAAGGGTTGAATTTCCATCATCCCCGATGGAGCCAAAATTTCACCATTTTTTGGTTTTGGGGTGTGATGGAATAAATCAAAATGGATCTCTAAACTGTCTGCGCTTCTTTAATTAATGAAGTAGCAGGTAGTCAAGCAATGCAACTTTTGACGTTGAGCTGGGGTCTCTTTGGAAACAGCCTCTCTACTTTCAAGTAGGGGCAAGGTCTGCGTACACACACCCTCCCCAGACCCTACTCTTGTGGGATTTAACTGGGTTGTTGTTGTTGCAGGGCAAGGGTTGAGGTGTGGGGTTTAGGGAGTTATCATTTTTCTATTTTTCTGTACATTGATGTAGTGAAAATGAATTGTTAGAGTAGTAATATAGATATCGCAATGTGATGTTATTTTAAGATTATTTCTTTCAAAATATTAAAATTCGTGTATTGTCTTTTTCGAATGGTCTAGATTTTATCCATGCAGAATAAAATAAAAATAATTTATGTAAACAATAAAAGCATACAATTACTAAATTTAAAATAACTAACTTACACACACTCTATGTGCGTGTGTGTGTGATTAAAAGACACAAAACCAAATTCAGAAAAAAAATTGATGACTTACAAAAAACCAATATATCAAACGCTACAATACGTTTTTCTCTTAATTTTTTAAAAAGGATTATGCTACAAAAAAATTACACAAATGCAGATTTACGAAAAAAATACTCAGACTCAAATGTTGAAAGAAAAAAGCTCGTAAGCTACGATTTTTTTTGAAAAAATACAAAATATTCAGGATTACTCGCTATATGATCTAGAGATGTGATAGTGGCTGAGAGAATGAAGGAGTGATAACCCTTTTTGGGTTTAGAATTAGGGGACAATTCCCCAATGCAAAACTTCATATTTGAGGGTTTATTGGAGATGCCCTAAATGACTAACTCTAAGAGTTTGTGTGTGTAACATCCAACCCGCGTGACTCAAATACATGCACCAGCGGACTGGGTGGTCACTAAATTAACATTCAAACACAATAATTTTCAAAATAGTTTAAAACATTTATCCCAAAACAATAGTTAAATATCCATTGGAGTTAACAAATGATGCTAAAGCTTTAACTACTTAATTCAAACACAACTTTGAATTCTTGCCCGAAATATACTAAATTCAATTGATATTGATGGGTGTATTCCACCCAGGACCAGTCCACGATTGGGTCCACAACGATAACCGGTCAAATGAGAAATTATTGGAATACGAAGCCTAAACGACAAAGATTCATACCGGTCGGTTTCAGAAAGCTGACAAGTACGCTTTGATTACTTTACCGGTCAAACTACGAAATTTGTACTGATCATCTCCAATCTCCATAAACCCATCATGCGTAAACCTAACCGATATAGTTTCTATGGCTGGGAAGTGTCGGCACGAAAGGATCCAAGGGAGGTTGGACGGTAGCGACTGAATTCAACGAAAGATCACCAAAGATATTTGCACAATCTATCCAACACGCTACGCGACAAAAAAGTCACCTTGCACCACCCAAGAACGTGGCCTAACATGGGTATGCGGCGCCCTGTCCCCTCTAGCTTCCTATAAATACTTGTGTGACCCTCAAAGGAAGGGATCCGAATTCCATCTCTCTAGAATTCATATTGTAATAACTCCCGGTGTTTTCTTGCATACTTAATAACAAACTAGACTACAGGTGGTTCCACCTACAGTCCAACCGGTCACTCTTGTTCTCCACACTTCTTTACTTTCTAATCTCAACAAACTATTCTAGACTCGGTCTAGTATAGTTTTCCTGGTGGTCAATTTACACCATCAGATATATTTAATTAAGTAAACTCCTCCATCCGACATGCATCCATCTCTTCATCCTCATTGCCCTGCCCTCCAGGATTGTTTCTTTAATTGTCATTCATCTTACCTACGTGTAGCAAGAGAACAAATACCACACGCTCAACATTGCTGCTAAGTGAGAAATATCTAACATTCGACTACGCATATAGATGAACTCACTAGCTTATAATTTCATATAATATCATGCACACAAGTACAACATTAATAAAATCACATAACAATCATCAAATAATATCAACTATGTTATAATAATCATACTTCATGTTACTTACTTCAATTCTTCACCTACATATGTTATTAACTTGGTTTTGAAGTTGTAACACCCCAACCCGCGTAACCCGAACCAACGAGTTAGCGAAACGGGTTGCTACTAAATTGACACCAAACACAACAATTTTCCAAACAATTTAAAACATTTAAATTCAAACACTAATTAAATATTCATCGAAGTATCATAAAACGCCGCGGAAGCCTTTAATAGTTAATTCAAAATACAACTTGGGTTCTTGCCCTTTTAACATAATAAATTCAAATGCAATAATTAAACTAGATAACTCCTCCAGTCAGCATCCACCCATCTTCTCGTCCTCGCTGGCCTTTAGATTATTTCCTCATTCATCATGTATGTTACCTACGTGTAGCGAACAAGAAAAAGAGCTACACGCTCAACATTGGAGCTAAGTGAGAAATATCTAACGTTTCGACTACGCATATAGATGAACCCGCTAGCTCATAATTCCATACAACATCATGCACAAAAGTACAACAATATTCACATCACACACAATCATCAAATGAGTTCACACATCACAAGTCATTACATTATCCGTCTTTATTTATAGCTCTTAACCTAAGTACCACGCTATGACCATACTTCTTTATTTATAACCTTATCTTCGGACTTAGAGTCACTACCCACGGCCAAGACTCAAGTCTACATTATTCAACACCTTACGACACAACACAACCTGATGACCAATGGAGGAGTTCACAGTTGGGTGGGTGGTACCCCTGTCCCCTTCAGAATGATAGTCTGTAGATCTTGTACGTATGTTTTAACACGCAGTCATCAGATATCAAATCTTCAAGGTCGACTCTACCTATTGACATTTATATTTACAATCTTACTAAAGCAGTCCTAGAGTTCCTCTAGGAAACCTAATCATTTATTTACAACATCTCTACAATTCAGACTTATTCCAACATCAATCTCAATTCGTTATTTACTTCCAAGGCACAACAGGATCATATTTAGTTATAACAAAAAAGATAACAAATATCAGACAAACAATCATATAACTCAATCAACAGCCTGGTGTCGGGTGTAAACACCTTCCACTAATCGTCATGCAACACATAAGGTCTTAGAGTCAATTCGAGTTTTAATTCTAGTCAAATAAACAATTAACGGGATTTGCAGATGTTGGTACGGTACCTGTCACAGTACCTTGGTACCGCCGGTACGGTATTGTCCGACCGTTTGTAGTAGATACCGGGAGCAGCAAACAACCCTGTGGCAGTAGCTAGGTCTGGTCCAGTACCCCCTACCGTCCGGGCGCAGGTACCGGTAGAGACAATGGTTGCAATGGTTTGTAGCGGTAGCATGGTACCGTCCCGACGGTACGTAGCTACCGTCTGTGTAACGCCCCAAAATATACCCTAGAATTATTAATGAATAAATAGTCAATTAATCAAATTTGTTTTGATTAAAAATAAATTGTTGTTGGGCCTTGGGCCAAAATAAAATGTGTTTTGATATCCAATATCATGATCCGGATAAATCTCATAGAGATTAGTCCAATATGTGGACTATTTGTGTGGTGTTGATTGGGAACCTGAGTACAGACCCAAATCAAGAGTAAATAAAGAAATTGTTTAGAATGTAAATATTGAATTGATTTGTTGAAAATAAATCATTAGAATAATTGATATGAATTAAATG